CTGTGCATAAGCAGCCCTTCCTTCTCCCATGATTGTTCTCTCCAGGGCGTGTGTCTACTTGAGGTAAATGTTTAACTCACATCCAAGGCTGTAAATCTTTATGGAAGCAAACTGCCTCATCTTTCTTGCAGAGTGGTTGGTGGATTTGAACTTTTGACCTTTTGGTTAGCAGCTTAACCTTAACCACTGCATTGTCAGAGCTCTTTCATGAATTCAATTAGTTTGAAAAATATTAATCTGTTGTTATATTATAGAATGTTTTCTCTTTATGATGACTGTGATATTTTCTTTTTCTTGCCTTTTTAAATCCTGGCAGGCATCAAACAGTGCTTCCTATATCCAGGATGCCTTTCAGCTCCTCTTACCTGTGCTGGAGATCTCTCTTATTGAGAGCAAGACTGAATCACCATAGGCATGAGCTGCAGGTCCAGTGGCCTTTGTTAGAACATTGAAGAACAGAGGAGATTTGACCTGGACTTGTGGCAATGGCCAAGAAGTGCCACTTTCTCCTGGATACCCCTGCAGAAGTGAGGGAAAAGGGTTATTTTACTATTTAAAATTTTAGGCACGAGAGCAAGCTTAAAGAGGAAATTTGTTGCCTTTACCGCTTGGCTGAGGTAGTCTGGTCCTTACACTATTGTTCCCAATTGTATCATTAAATTTGAAAAAAATCCTTTTGTAGGAAGTCCAAGGATAATGGCTCTAGATAAAGGTTAGTAGGGCATGTGTGCAAAAATGCTGTTCTTTCTTTGACATGATGCAAAACACTAACAATTGCTATGAGTAGAATTGATTGTTAACTAAGAGAGAAAGAACTTAATTTAGCATTCTAAAATTCACATGCTAACTAAGAGAGAAAGAACTTAATTTAGCATTCTAAAATTCACATGCTTAGCCTATTAATGGCATCTATTTTCTCCTTTCTAGAATAAAATCTATACCTGTAAGAAAATTGAGTATATATAAGCTCTATAATGATTACTCTTTATCACGTGAATTTTTGGAAATGGTTAGGAGAAAGTTGTAGAATATTATATTTGTAGCCACAAAAATTGACTATTGGAATGTACCATTGGTTTCAAATAGACCCCTAAAGCCCACCCTTGGATGATAATCCCCAAGTTTTAACTGGCCCCCAATTAACTGGATTGAAGACCAATAAGTGCAACTTATAGAAATGATATCGTATTTGCAGATATTCTGTCTCTCCAGAATATTTTTCATGCATACCTTATATGCAGGATAAATTCTGTAACAGCCAACTCCAAAGGAGTGTTGAAGTTCTTTTAGTAACGGGGTTTTTATTGTTTGAATATTGTTGAAATGGACTGCAGAGTCCCATAGAAATGATGTTCATTTATAATAGGATTTAACCTATAAAACACAATCCATTTTTTCCTCATTCTTTTTTGTTTGTTTTAGTATATTCTTCAGCATATTTTTAGATGTACCTTTTATCCTTATGGTCTGAAGCTTCATGTGCTCAGTTCAACAACTTAAGAGACTATTAAGGTGCCATCTACCAAAGGCTATTTTGGGATCTAGTCTTTGTACAGGGCTGACTCGACGGCACATAACAACATAACAACAACAACAAGTCTTTGTACAAAGTTCTTCAACATGGTTTTTTTTTTTTTTTTAATGATTCATTAACTTTTGTGAGCTCTCCCACTCATCTTCTATTATCTTTAAAATAAAATTTAATAATTGTGTCAGTTGTTGATCCTTCATTTATCCTTCCAAACATGAGTCTCAATATCTTCAGCAAAGCAGAGCTATAACACAGATTGATATCAAGACTGTTTCCATGTAATACTGGGGTAGAGGCAGTTTGTAAGCAAGGAGGAAATAAATAGATGTGGATGAAAAAGACGAGTAGCACTAAAATATCATTGCTCTGTTTTAATATCGTCATATTTAATAGGAGTATTTGTTTTTAGAGACAAATTTCACCCTTTCCTCACCCATCTAACAACTTGAGTAATTCTGAAATTTCTGAAAAACACTTGGTTCTGGTGGCATAGTGCCTAAGACATTTGACTGCTAACCAGAAGGAAGGAAGTTTGGGCAATCTACTTCCATAGAGATGCACCTCGGGAACTCAAGGAGGGGTCGCTATGAGTCGGATCTGACTCAATGGCAGTGAGTTTGATTTGGTTTGGATGGTTAATAAGGCTGATGTTCTCCTGTCCGTTTGTTGCCTTATGCTCAGTTGCTGTGTCTGAACTTGTCTCCTTAGAGCAAGGTATTCTTATGTATGATTTAGGAACTGGTCACACTGCCAACTACCTATTAACCTTTTATGCAGTAGCAGTGTGGCAGCCTTTACTCTTTGATCTAGGGATGCTATCTAAGCTTTTTGCAAGAAGAGAGATATAAATATTTGGAACAGAGGAATGATTCTTTATGTACTTTCCCAGATTGCAGCCCTTAATTTAGCCTATTTTATTTTATTATTATTTTTATTATTTTGTACCCTCCTGGTCACAAAAGCCCACTTGTTATGAGTGATAACAGTTATTTTCACTATATCCTAACTGAGCCCCTGCTGTGTCAAGCATGTTGTTGTTGTTGTTGTTTGCCGTCGAGTCGGCCCC